ACTCGCCTTGGGGAAAGCAGAAAATCATTTCATTTACACACAAAATCTTCCAAAGGCTCAGGAATTATCTGCACAAGGTACTTGAGGTGAGGGAGACTACAAGAAGGAAACTCGGATAATATTAGGTCAGTATTTATTAGCTGATCCATTAGGAAACTATAGTTACCTTTCTCCATTCCTGTATTTTTATTTTCTTGGAGTTAATATTTACTTACTTAGTTTTGCATAAATACTACTTATCAACAATTCAACCCCACCCTCCCTGCAGGACAACTGCCTACACCCTCCACCATGCAGGTCCAAAAACTAGAGGTTTATTTTCTGGAGAGAGTAAGGTAAGAAGAGTCTCTGGACAAAGGACAATGAAATCACACGGAAAACGGGATTACTGAATGCTGAGACAACCCCTCCACCTGCTTCCCCTTTAGCCTGGTCTTCACCTCTCGGGCAGATGTGAAGAGTCTTCTGTAGAGAATATGCCCAGCCTGCGAGGAAAGACATCAAGATCAGGTATCACCACCAAATGATGCAGTCACAGAATAGCTACAGAGAAGCTCAACATGTGAACAGAGCTTCGTGTTCTTAGTTCTCCATTCTTAACAATGAGCTAATAACCTTGGGATATTAGATGCTGAGGAAAGCTTATAATGTGAAAGACAGAGAGCAGAATGAACAAACAGGTAAAAATCTACCTGGAATAATGAAACTATTCAGGGTGAAGAAAATAAAGTCATTAAAAGTCTCAGAGAAATAAGAGAATACTGTATTCATGAAACTAGAATAAGATCGCTATAGGAGAGGAACATCCAGGGGACACAAAAGACCTCTTAGAAAATAAAAATGCAAAAGCCGAAATAAAAAATTCAATAGAAATCATGGAAGATAAATTTTGGGAAATACCAAAACAAGTAGAAAAGCACAGAGGTAAAAAATAGAGAAAGAAATTAGAGGACCTGCTAGAGGACATCTAAGTAACAGGAGTTACAGGAAAAAGAACAGACAAAATGGAGGGGAGGAAACATTAATGAGATACTTAATATTTTCCAGAACCAAAAGCTATAAGTTGCTAGACTAAATGGGGCATGGAGTACCCAGTGAAATAGATTAAAATAGACTCATACCAAGACAAATCATCGTGAAATTTCAGAACACTAGAGACAAAGGAAAAAAACACACACATCAAGAATCAGGAATCAAATGCTTTTGAACTTTTCAATGATGACATCTAAAGATAGATGATGATGAAATGATGAATTTAAAAATGTCTCCACCCTAAAGTTTTTACCCTGCCAAACTACCAAGTGTGAGGATAGTTAAAAATAATTTTCAGACTTGCTTATAAGGTTTCATGAAACTAATCTACCACAGACACTTTTTCTTAGAAAGATAAAAAAAAAGACATGCTGCCCTCTGAGCATGAAACACAGGGGCAAAACAGAAAAAGGGAAAATATGAGATATAGGAACTAGAAGACCCAACCCAGGAGAAAGGCGAAGATGATTCTCAGGAAGATGGTGACAAGTGTGTATCAGGTATGGAGAATAATGAGTCCATGGTGGACTGGTCAGAAGGCTCCAGGACAGACATCTTCAAGAAAATGAAGTTGATAAATTTGAATAAACATATTGAAAGCTGATTTAGAAAACTAGCAGAGATTCTGGGGTTGAATTATTGATAAGTAGTATATATGGGAAAATAATTATTAACTCCAAGAAAATAAAAGAATGGAAAAAGGTAACTACAGTTTACTGATGGATCAGTTAACAAATACTGATCTAATTAAAATTACCAATATAATTATGTTGGAAGAATTGAGGGATCAGAAGTGTATATGACACCTATATATGGTAGAGTGGAGAAAGAGCTAAATCTTCATCTTCCACAATGGTTAAAACCAAAAAATCAAGAATCATCAAAATCAAAAATGCTATTTACCGATATGGAGCTAAGTGCCAAAAGAATCAGCTAAAAAGTTCAAAGTAGTAGCCTCTGGGCAGAAAGAAATAGAGAGAAGTGGGGAGCACTGTTGGTCTTTCATCTACACATGCTTAACAATTTTAATAAAATAATCTTTAAAAAGTACATAAAATACAAAAAATACATCTCCCATGGGTAAACAGTAACCAGTTTGCAGAAAAATCGAAGAAGTGTAACCATTTTTCTAGAGTTAAAAACAAACAGGACTTTTTGAAGGCAAAAGCCTGGGGAAGACCAAGTTGTCTTTGGATGATATGCTTCATTCAATTCTTCTTTGTATACATTATGACATGAAATATATTTTAGTAAAATATTCCACTAAAATATAACACATAAAATCAATATTTAAAAACCTATAAAGAATATTTTCAATTTTCAAAAGCTATGTATGTTCTCTACATTCATAGGTGAAAAGATTTAACTTAAAAGGAAACTTTTTAGTCAGTCTTATTTAATTCATCATAAAACTGCTTCTACTTAACTGCTATGTTTATCTAGTGTCAACTCAAATCATTTTCCTTAACTCACACACTACCAATTCCACTCTAACAAAGAACTCAGGCTCAAAAATTGATCTGTAGTCAAATATATTCAGATGATAGTATTATGTTCAACTACAATGACACAGATCTATGTAAAACTATTTTATAAGCCACTAGAATTAGCTATCGATTTGGAATATTTTATTCTTATCTCATTCAACACTCAGACTGTTGTTCACTTCTACTTATACCAGCCTTGAAAGCACTGAACAAAACATTACATAAAAGTACGTACAAGGCACTGCATTAAAAATAAGCACAAAAATATATTTTTGATGGTGAAAAAGAGGTGGGAAATATTCTCTTCTCCAAGGTACAATGCCTCTCACTCATTCCTGATGGGCAGGAATGCTCAGGTAAAAAGATGGGGGAACACACGCTCCCCACGCAGGGAGCCCTTGCACGCAATGTCAAAACACAGTCCAAATATCAGAAAACTTCGATTCTATGTGTCCAGATGAAGACCCTGCTTAGAATAGCCTTACTAACTATTTAACAAAGTTTTAGGAATTTAGCAAGTCCAAAGAGGTTTTACCTCAGTGAGAGCAGCAAATTACATCCTATCCAAAACAGAGATTATTTTAGGCTTTAACCTCACATTTCTTTATCTGGAAGATTTTCTGGTTGTAAGAAACTGAAGGAATATGTAACGTTCAAAGCGGTGAAACAGCACTCTAAACGGATGAAATGACAATTGAACATTGGTACTATTTTAATCTTTTTCTCACTGCAAATTTCCCTGTGGCAAGCATAAACACCAGACACAACCAGATATCCTCGGCAGCCCTTCACTTCTTTTTTTTTTTTTTTTTTTTTTTTTTTTTTTTTTTTTTCCCAAAGCCCCAGCGGATAGTTCTATGTCGTAGCTGCACATCCTTCTAGTTGCTGTATGTGGGACTCGGCCCCAGGATGAACGGAGAAGCGGTGCCTCGATGTGCACCCGGGATCCGAACCCGGGCCGCCAGCATCGCAGCGCGTGCACTTAACCACCAAGCCACAGGGCCGGGCCGGCCCAGCCCTTCACTTCTAGCAGTTAAAGACTGAGTTGGATACCATGTTTTGAGAATACTGGTGACAAAATGAACTAAAAATACGGTAATTTGTCTCCTTCATAAATTTTTAAAAGGTTACATAAGATATTGTTTCAAATATTGCAGAATGTTTATAAGTCCTCTTCTATAATGATAGTTTTCTGCTTGAACAGAACTTCCTTCATGTGCTTCAGTTTGATAAAATGGCATTAATAGTGTAGATGGCATTCAGACTTGGTGAAAAGATTCACCCAGTGGCTTGGCTATAGCTTGCCTGCACTCATTTCAATACAGGTAGACCTAGACAAAATCATCAGGGAATCAAGTTTGTCTTCATCTCGCCTCACCTCTGATTTCCAGAGCTCTTTCCTCCATTTCGGTGCCTTCCTTCCTATTCTCCCAGGTTTTTCAATATGCTCAAACTTCCCTGGTTCTCCAAAAATCAGCAAGGTCCCAAATATTGCTGCACAATTCTATTACTTACCCCTTCCTGGGTTCTCTCATATTCCCTATTTGAAATATTTACTATACTAATTTGTCAGCAGACGATTTTGTCAGAAGGAAAAGGAAAAAACAGGCCATCATTTATAACAGTGAAATTCCCCTCCACTTGTAGAATCAAATATATCAGCACCAATCCTTACCTCTTTTCCTCAAATCAGAAAAAAAATATGCCCTCCTCCTCTAAAGGCTGCTGCCTGTGCAATCAAGTCCCTCCCACCCACTGTGAGACCACGATCCATGGATTATCCCCCTCCTATAACTCCAATATTTTTTCTTCATTTGGTACTTCCGCATTTATAAATGTGCTAACATGTTCCTCACCCTTCAGTAATAATTTTTATTTTTATTTATTTTTTTTTTGTGAGGAAGATCAGCCCTGAGCTAACATCCACGCTAATCCTCCTCTTTTTGCTGAGGAAGACCGGCTCTGAGCTAATATCTATTGCCAATCCTCCTCCTTCCCCCACCCCCCGCAAAGCCCCAGTAGATAGTTGTACGTCATAGTTGCACGTCCTTCTAGTTGCTGTATGTGGGACGCAGCCTCAGCATGGCCGGAGAAGTGGTGCGTCGGTGCGCGCCCGGGATCCGAACCCGGGCCGCCAGCAGCGGAGCGCGGGCACTTAATCGCTAAGCCACGGGGCCGCCCCGATAATAATTTTTAAAAACGCCTATTCTGAACCTCACTTTCCTTCCACCACACCAAGCTTCTCTAAAGAGCAGTTCACGCTGGGCATCATTTCTTCAGTTCTCCATGCTTCCCATTCAGCTACTGCTCTCCTCAAACTGATTTTATGAACCACCTGAGAAATCAATCACAGTCTGTCCTCACTGCTGCTGTTGGCGTCCCTCAGGTTTTCATTCTTTTTTTGAGCGATCTCATTCACTTTTAGGGCTTCAACTGGTTTCTATATGAATATGATTTCTAAATCTTAGTTACAGCACTCACCTTTCTCCAACTGCCTTCTTACTGTACCTCCCCTGGGAGTCCCAAAGATGGTGCCTTTAATTGATCATTTTCAAAACTGCTCACTTGCCCTAACCAAGCCTATTCCTCCTCCTATAGGTTCTAACTCTCATTATTATGACATCACTATCCACCCATCCTCCAAAGCTTAAAATCTCAGAATCATCTGATTTTTTCTTCTCCCTAACTTCCAGACATCTAATTCTCCTCCAAGTCCTTTCTTTCTGCTTCATAAAAGTTTCAAACTCATCTTTATCGCAATTTCCACTCCCCAACCTTTAGTTTAGAGTTATCTTCTCTTGCCTAGACCATTTTAAAAGTCTCTTAACTGGTCTACTAAATCCAATCTCCCGACCGTAGTCCCTGCTCCATACTACATTCAGAGGTATCCTGGTTAAAGTGCAGACCTCAGCCAGAGAAGAGCTAGATCTACCGAGATTCTTTTTTTTTTTTTTGTGAGGAAGATCGGCCCTGAGCTAACATTTGCAATCCTCCTCTTTTTTTTCCTGCTGAGGAAGACTGGCCCTGGGCTAACATCCATGCCCATCTTCCTCCACTTTTCATGGGGCGCTGCCACAGCATGGCCTGACAAGCGGTGTGTCAGTGCACGCCCGGAATCCGAATCGGTGAACCCCGGGCCGCCACAGGGAAGCGCGCACACTTAACCACTTGCACCACCGGGCCAGCCCCTACAGAGATTCTTTTTTTCCAATTAATTTATTTATTTTCTTTGTGTGAGGAAGATCGGCCCTGAGCTAACATTTGCAATCCTCCTCTTTTTTTTCCTGCTGAGGAAGACTGGCCCTGGGCTAACATCCATGCCCATCTTCCTCTACTTCCTCTACTTTATATGGGACGCCGCCACAGCATGGCTTGACAAGTGGTGCGTCAGTGCGTGCCCAGGATCCGAACCGTCGAACCCCCAGCCGTCTCAGCGGAGTGCGCGCACTTAACCACTTGCGCCACTGGGCCGGTCCCCAGAGATTCTTTTTTAACAGCTCAAATAAGTAGTGCTATTCCCAATTTGCTCTCACAATGTAGTAGCCCTGCTTTGAATAGATTTTTATTGACCTAACCACTAATTAACAAAGCAGGCCAAAGCTTCAATAGTTTACTATAAGAAAATATGTAGTATTATAACTGAACCAGCATAACTGTCTGAAAGTGTTTTTACACAACTAATAAGTGCTAATAAAAATGAAATATGACTACAGGATCACTGCTAGATTGTATTAAATATGCAAATTTGAATTTTTTAGTATCTCAAAATTAGATTATTTTAGAACAATAAATGTCACTGATAGTTTCTTTTTCCAAAATTTACATTTATTTTATATATGCACTTACAAAAATACCTAGAATTCATAACAGATTCGGTGATAAACTGGCTCTTAAATTCAGCCATCACGGAAGTGACTGAAGAAAACTAATCTTAAGGAACTGACTCAAAATCTGACTCTCACCCCTCCCCTGCTATTATTTTACTCTAAGCCATCATCATTTCTTGCCCATTTACTGCACTAGTCACTCAACTGGTCCCCTACTTTCACTCTAGTTCTCAACAATATTCTCCAGAGTGGCTAGAGCCATCATTTTAAAACATAAAACAGATTTTGCTACTCTTCAGTTAAAACTGTCCAAAGGCTTCCCACTGCTCCTAGAAAAATATCCCAACTCTTGACCATGGCCTACAAGAGTTGTCATGATTTGGTGCCCTGCGTACACCTCTGAGTTCATCTTCTACAGCTCTCTCCCCCTTGTCTGCTTGTCTCCAGTCCCAGTGGCCTTCCTTGTGTTCTTCAAACATGCCCAGTTTATTTCCCATCTTTACCAGTTTCTCTTCTCTCCACTTGAAATGATCTTCCCCGATTTCCACACGCATATCCTTATTCTCTTCACTTTTGTCTCAGTATAAATGTCACCTCCCCAGAAGGTGAACCCAAACACCCAATCTAAGCTAGCTCCCCTCCCTCACGCACACCCTCATCACTCTCCCTCCTATGAGTTTCATTTTCATCATAGTATTTATCTGAAACTATCTTTGCTTATCGTCTGTCTCCCCTCACCAGAAACTCATCATTGTTCTATCTCCCCCAGCAGAGGACAGTGCCCTGACACGCAGTAGGCATTCAGATATTCATCAACCAATTAATAAATACATGCTAATGTCTCTCAAAGCTGTATGTCCTGAGCTTCAGACTCCTATTTCCTTGCCTAGTCTCTGCAAAGGTGTCCCATGGGTACCATAAACTCAACATGTCCAAAACATATTGCATTGCTTCCTGCATCTGGTCTGCCTCCAGCATTCCCTACCTCAATCAGCGACACCCAGGCATACCTGTTCAACCTCCCTTATTCTCTCTACCCAATCTGCCACCAGGACCTTTCAATTTGCTATCTTGCATATCGTTCAAATACATCCCTTTTTCTTTATCTCCACTGTCACTGCCTTAGTTCATATTCTCATCATCTCTCACCTTAACTTTTAAAACCTTCTATTTTCCTTACTTCATCCAACCCCAATACCACCATCAGAGTGAGCTTTCCAAAATACAAAATATAACCATGTTTCTCTCCTGGTTAAAATCATTCACTGGTGGATTCCCCATCACCTATAAAATCCAAATTCCTTAATATGGCATAAGGGTCTCACATCTCCCCCTTAACTGTTCAAACATCCTCTCTTGCTCCTCCTTAGAGAGGCTCTTTTAATTCCAGCCACACTGGGCCATTTGCTACTCCCTATATCCATTGCCTCATGCTGCTACGACTTCAAAGGAAGCCTTTCAAATGAAGCCTTTCCTGATCCATCCTAGCAGATTTAGAATATACAGCACTTATTGCATAGTACAGTTGATCCTCATTATTCATGGATTCTGTATTTGTGAATTTGCCTACTTGTTAAAATTTACATTTAACCCCAAAGTCAATACTCACAGTGCTTTTGTGGTCATTTGCAGACAGGCACAGAGAGCAAAAAACATGCCCAACGTGTCTGTGCCCCCAGTCTGGGGCCAGCAAGGCAACGCTCTGCCTTCTTCTTTCCGCTTTGACACTAAAAACAAGTATCCTTTTCATGGTCTATTTATTGTCATGTTTTTCACATTTTGTGCTTTTTTGTGGTGATTTCGCTGTCTAAAATTCCCCCAAGCACAGTGCTTAAGTCCTGTTTAGTGTTCCTGAGAATAAGAAGGCGGGCGATGAGCCTTAGGGAGAAAATATATGTTTGATGAGCTTCCTTCAGGCATGAGTTATAGTGCTGTTGGCCATTCAATGTTAATGAATCAAGAAAAATATATTAAGGTGTCTTTTTATATATATATATATAATATATATATAATAAATATATAACACACATAAAACAAGGTTATGTTTTATATGTATAAAACAGGTGTGTATAAAAAAATAAATATATAATATATAAAAACACACATAAAACAAGGTTATGTATTCACTAGTTAATAAAAATGTGATCAGAGGCTGGCAGGAACCTAACCCCGTATTTCCTCTAGAAACAGTGGCTCAGTATTCGCTAATTCAGTGCTCCCAGAGAATTTATAGAACATAACTACCAGGAACAACGAATAACGAGAATTGACTGTATTTTCATTTACGTGTCTGTCTCCACCACAAAATTAGTGGGCTCTCTAAGGGCAGAAATGGCATCTTATTTATCTTTGAACTGTAATTCTTACTATTATGCGAAACACACTGCAGTTAATATTTACTGCATGTAATTTTAAAAATTGTGGATCTTCACTGTTGTAATGTGATTTGTCCTATATACTTAGATTCTATGGCAAGATTCCCATAATACTCCCAATCCCAGCGAGGCCTTGCTCAATTGCACAATTAATGGCCTGAACTTCATCCTCCATCCCTGCACTTTCACCTCTTTTATCATGTTCAAAGATCATGTTCTTTAAGTTCAAACTTAAAAATCACGGTTAGGGGCCAGCCCGGTGGCGTAGAGGCTAAGTTCGCATACTCCGCTTCAGCGGCCTGGGGGTCACAGGTTTGGATTCCGGCGCGCCCCGACATACCACTTATGAAAACCATGCTGTGGCGGCATCCCATATAAAGTAGAGGAAGATGGGCATGGATGTTAGCCCAGGGCCAGTCATCCTCAGCAAAAAGAGGAAGACTGGCAACAGACGTTAGCTCAGGGCTAATCTTCCTCCAAAAAAAAAAAAATCATAGTTAAATGAAAAGGCATTTACAGAGACTTACTTTTCAGCAGGTCAGTTAGCCCTAACTGGCTTAGATCTAAACACTATCAGAGAAGTTTCTAGACAAAATGGAAGAGTGAGCACAGATGCCTCCATTTCCTCCCTCCTGAGGTCCCACTGAAATGACAGGAAAGATATGTTTTAAAAAGAACAAAATGCCAACAACTCTGGAGCTGAGAGAGAAATGAAACAGAAAGAGATTAGCAAACCAGAAATTTGAGGACATTCTAGAAGTTAGAAAGCAGATGAATGAGGCTTATATGTCCAGCAAAAAGACAGACTTGATAATCTGAAAGTAATTCTCTCACTTACAAAATACCTAGAAATGCTAACTAAAATACCAAAAACATCCTCTCAAATACAAAAACAAGTCCCCAAGAAAACCCCATGGGCCAAGATGAAGAGGCTAACAACAAACTGGCAAGCAGGTGCTGAAGTCATGGCTGCTCTGGGGTGTTTACAGATTTCAGTACCTGGAAGTTCAGAGGCAGTAGTTTAGGCCTTGGTCTGTTCAAGATGGGGAATTGCAACTTAGACTCCTCCATATAAAGCTGCGACCTTACAGGACTAACCCCCACCTGTAAAAGAATGGCCTGGCAAAGATGTGCCTATGGGCCAAGGAAGACAACAAGGAAATTAGCCTGTCTCAGGTTGGACTCCACATTAGAGGGAAACTGTAGAATCTGCAACCACAGATTACTCTCAAGGATTCAGGGCTCCAATACACCTACGTAGTTCAGAAAACCCCAAGAAGAGAAATTACAAAGGTGCCAAAGAAAAGCCTTAGCAAATCTTCCCTGGAGGAATGTGCCCTCTAACTAGGCTGCACAGAATCCCTTGAATAAAACTTGGCCAAGCACGAGCTGAGCTCACAATTCAAAAGTCACAAAAAACACTCAAGGAAAAAAAAAGACTGGTAATTGAGAACACAAGAAAATAATGCTGTCATCAAGGAAAGCAGATAAGATTGAATAAACATTGTAATCTGAGACATTAGAGTAAGTACAATTCTTCCCAAGTGGATTTTCTCTGGGCCTCTCTTGAGAAGTACATGTGT